ATATATATATACTAATTAATATATATATATATATATATATATATATATATAACATATATATATATATATATATCAAAAATTTNTATTGATGAATGGATGCATATATAGATATACATACATACACACTTGTGTATCAATTAAATAAGTATTCATATTTTGTTATTTCTAGGTGTTTCTACACATTTACTTCTTCAAACTTCTACAGTGTCCTATATACCGACGATTGAACTTCGAAAATAACATATTCGAGGAGAAAAAGCCCATAAAAAGGATAAGAAACATCTATAAAACTATAAAATATAGATCCAAACAGAATACTCTACGAGCCCTTAATACATTTATTTGTTGTCTTGCACTTACCGCTTGTAGCTCGCCCAGAAACTGAATAAAGAGCTCATCGTCCAGGGCGGCAAAAGCACCCAGTCCATGCTTGCGTATACATTTGACCTCACTCATATACATATTCCCTAATGGTTTTACACCATATGGATGTTGTTTATTGAGCGTCAGATCGGGGATGTCATCATCGATATCCCTTTGGTACCGCTTGCGTGCATGTGCCATAACCGTATGCCCATCTGGCCGTTCTTCTTTGGTCTCTACTGTGAAGCACACTTTCCGTTTCTTAACAATATTTTTGACATCAGGTGGCATATTGCTAACCACATGGGGGTTTGTATCAACTGTTCCTTCTGTTATATAGCTCGCTGGAGACATGCTGTTGAGGTTAGCAATAGTATGAAATGTAGACGAAAGGTACTATTCACGTGCGAATACTATATACACGACGGCCTATGCGGCTATGCTATGGCCTTTGATTTGTGTTCCAAAACGAACATATATAAAAATAGCGACACATATTGATGATGCATTATGACGTCACGCTACATGTGCATCATGGCTTTTCAATTTTGCGGCAACTACATTTGTACAGACAAATAATTTTAAAACTTGCGTACGTATGTACTCTCTTTTAGTTTAGTATGCATGCACAAAGTACGCATAGCAGCTCAGTACACTCAGAAACTACACGTGAATCACTTACTAATATTCAGTAGTATAGATAGATAATGCCGGGTAAGAAGATAAGTCTTGAATATGAGGACAGCGCGTTCTCCAAGATGGACCCCACGAAGGTGGCTATAGTTGAGGAGTTCTGCGAACTACTCTTACAATCGCTTACTGACGAACAACTGGAAAACCCTGACCAGATGAAGAGCGTCGTGGAAAAGCTCATGATACGGCTCAGACGTAAATACAAAATCATAGTCGCAAAGGTATGCATGAAAATTGGAAGTGTATAGCACATGCTGGTGATGATGTTTAAGGCCCGGTATTTTACTCGTTTGCCAGTTTTATTGTGTTTGGAGTCGAAGATATAATTGTACATTTACATCTACACATGATTTTCGATACACGTAACATTTGCTATGCGAAGACGATTATATATGCGAGTTTGAGAATGTGTGTACTGATAGATTGTAGATTCATGCAGATACTTCTAGAATTCCATCAAGCGTATTTCTATATCCCCAAGTACAATTTCGTTAAATGAATATACAATACATGTGCATGTTCTTGCCACTCAATGTATAGCTATATCATATGTAATCCCACACATTTGAATGTAATGCGTACTCTATCATACGTGAGAATTCTTGACCAGGTATACATATGTGTACCTATTCACATGTATTTATGTGCAATACTGGTATACACCAAATAGTTGCACAGGTATTATATATATATATATATCTATATATACATGTATATATAAATAATATATATATATATACATACACACACACACACACACACACACACACACACACACACACACCACACACAC